GACAGTGGAGTTAAGGCTGTGTAAATTTATGTTGTGCTAAAGGTCATCTTTGATTATCTTACTAGTGGCATAGTTGCTTACAAATTCCTTTTTTTCTTCAGGCCTGAATGTTGTTCATCTTAAATCCCTTGATACAGGAAAGCAGGTAATTGAGTGTTACGTATCACATGTCCCTGGCTCCTCAGAATGATTCCATATAATTTTTTCTGTTCGGTTTTTCTGTGGATGACTCAGCTCCACTCAATTCCAGTATATGATGCACCTTTATGACATACAGTACTGGCACATGGTACTCCTATTATGAAATCATGATGGCAATGAAAGCTAGGGAAGACTGTCTGACAGTGCAGCAAGTACAAAGAAGCATCCACACCAGTGTCCAGAGAACAAAAAAAAATAAAGACTGTAACTGAGCCTTCTCCTCTGAAAGAACTCTCTCTACATGCATAGCTGTATCCCTGCTGTGCCCTGGCACTCCTGTGTTCAGAGCTTTTTTTGTGTTCCCATGCTAAGTTCAGCACTTTCTCTGTTTGAAATTCTTTTCCCATAAGGTATCAGTATTCAGACTTCATCAATCACCGGAAAACTTTTCTGAGTTTCCTAAGATTGCATAGAGGAGAAATTTGCAAGCTAGCCTCTAGCCTACAAACCATTAAAAAAACGGAAGTCAGTTTAATTGAACAAAGCCTATATTAGAACAAGCTCCCTGGCATTAGGAGTATCTATTCTGTGGACTTGCATGATTTTCTAAATTTTATTTTGAAACTTCTCCAACAACAAAAAAAAAAACCTGTATTTTTAAATGTAGGTCAACTGTAACTTTTGTGTTCTTTTAAGTGTTCATGTTACAATCCTGAGAATGAAGTCTAATATATACTAGCTTTTCAAGAAAACCAGTTCCTGATGACAACTGAATTTAGATCCTGGGTCATGTGAAAGTGTATGTAAAGTTGACAAAGTTTCTTTGATAGCTCAGGAATTGTGTGAAAAGAGTGGTAATGCAAAATATATTTATACTTTTTTTTTCTCCTTTTTTGCTAAATTAAGACAACTTTGAACTAGGAAAAACATCAGTATCTGTGAGGGCAGAGCATCCAATGCCATTAGAGACAGTGTGGAAGCTTTTGAACATGGTAAAATCCTGTCACCAGTAAATGACTTCAGAATGTTAGAATATGATATAATCTGAATTATTCTGCACCTGAGATTCTGTATCAATGGGATTATTCATGAAGATGCAAGTGTTGCATGGACTGCCATTTTAATGAATGTGCCACCTATGACCGTGTGTATTGTGTGTTACTAGCATTCATAGGGTTTGAACCATGTGCAGAACAGTGACCAAAATGACCAACTAACCAACACAGAACTGTTCAAGTCGAGATTTTTATTTAAGTTACTTTATTAGTAGCCCTTTCACCTTAAAAGGGAATAACCTCATCTGTCTTAAATGTAAGCTAAATTTAAAATGGAACACTTATTGGCATGAAATGTACATACATTAGAAGCATGTAAATACCTCCTCATTTCTATTGTGATGTTGTGGAAGTATACACGAATGAAGACTGGTGGCATTTTTTTCCAGCATACTGCAATTGAGATACACTAGTGGATGTTGTAACAACTTTCAGTTATGTTTAACAAGCCTCCCTTAGAGAGAACAATAACTGCTAACTGATACAGTAGCAAAGAATGAGCCTCAGATACACACTGAGAATTTAATGGCTTTTAGAATGTAAGGGTCTCTAAAGTGTTATATATGTTATTTTAGGTACAAGAGGTACAGTGTTCTAGCCTTCAAAAATATACTTTTACTCAAAATTACAAGCCATAGAGCCTGTTGGAGAAGTTACAAAAGGGTCTGTTTTCACTTGCTTGTAAAACAGATTCCAAACTAGAGAGGAAGCATCTTTGCCAGAAACCATGATGGGCCCTAAAACAGTGTGGCATGAATGAAAGGCAATATTTATGAATGATTCTTATACCCAGTCATTTGTCACTGACAGAAGATGAGTCTGTGGAGAAATCAAACCCTTCAATCCTACTCAATCCTCAAGCTCAATTCCTACTCAAAACCTTGGAATTTTGAAATATGTCAAAAGCAGCTTGAATTCTTTCACACTACTATCATTTGAATGTAAAAAGCATTATATACAAAGAAGATGAATGTAGCAAATAATAGTTTTACACAGTAGTCACGTAAACACCTTTTCAGTATAGCACAGTTGTGAAATTGCTGTACAATACAAAAAAATTCAGAATGATGGCAGTATAAGAATATTATTAAAATATCTTAAACCAATTTTAAATGAGATTTTAAGTATTCAACAGTTTGTAGATGCCGATTTGAGGTTTTATGTTGTCATTTGGTACCATCTGCTGTCATCTGGTACTTCTAACGTGAATTGAAAGCTGCTGTTGAAATACAGCATATTGCATATCAGTACTGATTAATGCAGCGTTTTCACAAAAAGATCACAAACCGTAGAAGTTTTCATCAGTCAAAGAGAATAACTGCAGTAGTTGTGTGTAAAAAAATAAATGTTATCTCAGAATTACTGTTTTTCAGAATTGTGAAGATATAAAATGTATGTAGGCAATATTAATTTATTAATGTGCTATTTTAATATAATTCCGTGCCAAAATGCATGTTTTTCCAAATAGCACTAAAATGAGGCAAAGAAAGTAGTTTTCAAATTGCAACTTACTTGTCACATTATAATGTAAACCAATTTCAACATTTTGGTTTGTTTTGTCTGAAAACTGTTGCACTATTTTTGGCTGTATTTTCCAGCAGTCCACTGCATGCCATTTGTGTAAGGATTCTTTCTATAATTCTTGTGAACCGTCTCACCCACAATAACCCTGGCATTGGAATCTAGGTTTTGGGCAAAGTATTTTGTTACCTCAGTCTTGTATCAAGTTGCTGTATTTTTCAGTTTGTTACATTGATAATGACTGTTTCACTAATTAAATACTTTAATGTAAAAAAAAAAAAAAAAGTTTGTTTACTTCAACAGCAATTGCACTTGGTTGTAAGTTTAAATATGTGCAGAGATGTATGCTGTTAACAATAAAATATTCTGAAAAAAGAATAGTAGAGGTATAGAAGGAACATTTTAGCTCCAAGGCAACAAGCATGTTTTATTTGTGACTGAACAGTAATACAGTTGAACAGACTTTATAGTGCACAGCATGTAGCCATTTAATAGTATAAATACAACAGAATCCAAATTTCTAACAAAATTGAAAAACCCTCCAAATTTGCAGTTTTCAAGTGGGATCTGGAAAGTCCGAAGAAGTAGAAATGAACCTATCCTATTGTTTTCCTAAGAAATACATTTTATCACTGCCACACTTAAATGTTGACTTGAATAGCAAGGTAAATTACTTTGCACTTATAATTAAACTTTATTTACACACTTGGATTCTCAACTCCACCCCCTGAAATCAACAGGAAAAAATATTTTATCCACTAATAAAATGATCAGCCTTGCATTACACAGTATATCAGTGTAGATGTAATTAATATCTTCTGGTATTCAGATCTGAAATTTCCTTTGAAATGCTGAGTACAGCTGACAGGGGTAGCCTAGCAATCAGATGTTCAGTAGAACTTTCTCTTGGAAAATAACAACATGGAAATGTTGACCATTGTCTGTCATCTTTGATAACTTCTCTTCTTAGATGTGTCATTTTTCTCTCAATCCCCATGTGTAAGAAATCAGAAAAGGAAGGCAAGAGACCAGCACTGATGAGTCAAGACCTTAGTCAAAGTAGAGGGCAAGAAGGAAATGCACAGGCAGTGGAAGCAGGGACAGGTATCCTGGGAAGAGTATAGGGACATTGCCAGGTTGTGTAGGGATGGGGTCAGGAAGGCCAAGGTGCAGCTGGAGCTGAACTTGGCAAGGGAAGCAGAGAATAATAAGGGCTTCTATACGTATGTCAGCCAGAAAAGGAAGGTCAGAGAAAGTGTAGCCCCCTGATGAACACGACTGGCAAAATGGTAACAATGGACAAGGAGAAGGCTGAGGTACTCAACTTTTTTGCCTCGGTCTTCACTGGCAATCCCTCTTCCCACACCTCTCAAGTGGATGGCCGTCAAGGAAGGGACTAGGGGAGCAAACTCCCTCCCACTGTAAGAGAAGATCAGGTTTGCAACCACTTGAGGAACCTGATCATACATAAGCCCATGGGACGTGATGAGATGCAGCCCAGAGTCCTGAGGGAATTGGCTGATGTAGTTATCAAGCCACTCTTCATAGTATTTGAAAAGTCATGGCAGTCAGGTGAAGTCCCCAGAGACTGGAAAAAG